GGTTATTCCTTTTGATGGTATCCCACATTATGTTTTGATCTTTTTTCTGATTGATTCATTGCCAAAGAAGTATTGAGGTATTTGTCTTCAATCTCACTAATTCTGTCTTCCATTGATTTGATTCTACTCCTTTGCCCTTTGAATGTATTATATATTTCTGAAAATTTAGTATTAATCTTCTGGATTTCTATCTGTAGATTTTGTATCATTTCTAATTTTTCATTTATTTGCCATTTTGTTCTTGAATTGTCTTCTGAAATTTTTCTAGGGTTTTGTCTATGTTTTCCCTAATTTTGTCAGTGTTTTCCTTGATCTATCTCTCAGTCTTTGAAGGTACCTAAATACAATTCTTCTCAGGGAGTTCCAGTGATGCTTCTTCCTCAAGGATGTGTTCTGGATCTATATCCCGGTCCCTTGTTTCTACTGCTTTATCTTGCTTCTTTGTGTGGACTGTGAAGGTCTGTTGTCTCCAAGACATTGTGACATTGTCTTTGTATTTATAGTTAATTGGTGATTGTATGTTGGAGTGATTCAGCCAAGATTTTTGTTTTCTTTGTATCTGAGTAAGCAGGGTATTGTGCTCCTCTATTTGCTAGCTGGTAGCACTTATGCACTCACCACCTGTCTCCTGGTGGTGTGACAGAGTATGAGAATGGCTGCACAGATCTCTGTTAATTGTTTGTGAGCAGCAGTTAAGGGTGAGTCAGGTTCATATTGGCTGTCATATTTCATGGGCTGGTTGGTACAGAAGCAAGTGGTAGCTCTCATTCAGTACGTGGGGCTGCAGGAGGTGTGGGTATGATTGGGTCGTATGGGCACGGTTGCTGTCTCCCACTCAGTTAGACAAAAACAACAATCAAAAAACTACTAAAAACATAAAAGCAAGAGGACAAAAAACATACATCTCATAAACACGGAACAATCATCAAAAAGGGGGAAAAAAGATGAAAGGCAATAAATGAGACAAAATATTTAAATAAATACTTTAAAAAGACAAAAGAAACATGAATAGAAAAAGAAAAAAAAAAACCCACAATATCTGGGGAGGGGGGAATAAGAGAAAAGAGATACAGTAAGAGAAAAATTATGGAAAAAATGCAAAAAGAAAAACAAGGGATGGGGAGAATCACAAGAAAGAAAAAAAAAATGGAAACCAGGAAAAGGGAAAAGAGAGAAAGCCAAAAACTAGAACCTGGGAAAGGAAGAAAAAAGAATAAAAAGGAAAAAGAAAAAAATTTAAAACAAACAAAAAACAAATCTGGGGGAGGGTGAGGCAGGGCACCCAGGCTCTATCAGAGCATAGACTGGGATGGAATTCCTGCTGGCACAGAAGATGAGTGGGAGTGAGGGATAGCTGTACTTCTGTTCACCAAGAGAATGTGAAATATAAGAGTAACAAGGGGAATATCATCACACCTTTCCAGTCCTTAGCCTTTGGTATGTCCTCAGCAAGTGGAGTCTATTCTTAGCTCCCTGGAATCTGAGAGAATGCTGTTGCAGTGTAGTAAATTACTTAGTGTGGCTTTTCTACCCATAAGTCTTTGTAAACTCCAAGATGGGAATTGCTATTAGCAACTGAGGAGATCCTGATTTTAAAGTCGCCCACCTGGGTTATTTCTGTTGGGCGTGGCACAATACAATGTTCTGGGAGGTTCCCACTCTCTCTCACG